CCCTAAACCCTAAACCCTAATTAGTGTTTGGGTGGCTTAGAGTTTTTGGCGTTCAGGTGTTGTTTTGGTGTCGGGAATAATTTGGGAGGAGGGGTCCCAGGATTCCTGCAGCTTCTTCCGGAAATCGATAGCTTATAAGGGTTCTTTTTAAGGTATAGGGTTTAGGGTTAAGGGGGTTCCTTCAAAAGTTCCATTAGGGGTTCCTTCATGGTTTGAAGTTTTATATCTGTACGGTTCTACAGGAATTGCCCTCAACCCGCGGCCCTGGGACGAAGATCTGAGCCAGACCGCCTTCTGGACCGCTTCTGAGCACCCAAATGTCTGAATACACCCAAGCGAACACTTACCGAAGGTCCAAAAACCTCGAGGTAAGCCCTGAACCCTTGAAATCCATTAACAGACCAGAGTCCCTGAACTCCAAACAGTCTTGCTTCAAGACCATGAAACCCCTGATATGTTTTGGACGCCAGGTGGTCTCTGCGAGCCTGCTTTATCTCGTAGAGTCGGATCGCTGCGAGGAGTCGAACTAGGGCTTGGGTGCATTGTGGAGGGCTTGAAGGGTGCACTATAGGGGTCTAAATAATTACCCCTACGCCTCTTGGGGTGGGGGGTCCTTAGATTAGAAGTCTAGTATCATATATCCCAAAAACCTTATTCCAATTATTAAGGCCCTTGTGGTAGGTTTCTGGATTTCCGAGAATGGTTCTTTTTGGGTTCCTAAACGGGAAACCGGATTTAGAGAGAACTACCCATGGATTTCGTGTCACTCCAGTATGCATTTCGAGTTTCGTTTGCTTTCAATGTTCGAGAGTGCCTCTTGCTCTAAGCGGCAAGCCCTTGCAACCCTGAAACCCTTGACCATGTATATCTCACATTACTGGCAAAGGACAAGAACGCCTTCTGGAAGAATATGTTGCAAGTCCACAAATCTTAAACAGTTTCGAGGAGGTGAACCCTGTACATGGGTCAACCGGACATCCCCGGTTCCAAGGCGCTTCCGGCAGCGTCAGAAACTATACTTATAAAGGATCATGGGGCTTAGTAAGTAGGGTTATAATTAGGGTAACTATACTTGTAACCCCAATTAAGGCACTTATAACCTTACTTACTAAGTTCCGTGATCCTCCAAGTATACCTCAACACCTCAGTCGCAGCAGAGCTTGGCAATTCCCAGCTTCACCAACGCGGGCACAGGTCGCCCCTCCCCCCCCCAAAAAAAAATGGGTTTAGGGTTTAGGGTTTAGGGTTTGAACTGGTTACCTTCCCCTATTTTGTATGCAGCGCGACGCCCAAACTTTAAATCCAGCAGTCCCCAAGGGTTGTTCGTTAGAGTCATTAGAGGCCTGGTTTTTAGGGTTTAGGGAAGTTTAGGGGTCTAGGCTGTAGGAACCCGAAAAGCCTGTGGCCGTGAGGAGCTTGGCTTGCCGTGCAAGGGCTTTGAGTCCATTCCTGCGTCATTCTGGCCGGGGCCTGGGTCGAGGATTTGACTTACACGAGGGCTTAAGTGTGTGCAAAGTTAGGCCCTAAACCCTATAAAGCTTGGGTTCATTCTGGCCTCTGGGTCTTGGTGCCAAGTGTAAAAAACGATTTAAGTACCACATACCGCATATGAATATTCTGGCCCGTGATCTACAGTATCCCCAGTAATTAGGGTAGTAAATATTTTGGCCGTATTGAAGTTCATGCTATATTGGATACGTACACCCTTTGAGCAATGCTGGTTATGTGAAGGGTGTTGGCTCTTGTGGCGACACGGAGCTTAGAGCTCAGCGCTTTGGGATGAAATGTCTCGCATGCGTGATTTCAGACTTCCCGGCATTGTGGGAGCCTGACGCATACCGGGTTAATGTAGTCGAAAGCAGTGACAGCAAAAGATACACCCAAACGACGCCGGACAAGGACGGAAGAGTGTGGCTATAGAATTCGAGTGAATGTGCTGACTTCAGTGGCGGGGACTGGGAGAAGCTGCCTTCTTAAGAAGAAGCCTCTCATCATTCGGTTTGGGGTTTGGTTTAGGGCTTTAGGGTTTTAGGCTTTTAGGNNGGGTTTAGGGTTTAGGGTCTCCTGTCCAACACGGGCGCGCCCCTCCTTGACCTGACAGGTTCGCCATTTGCACGCTGACGACCGTGGGCTATGGAGATGTGATCCCCTTTACGCGAATCGGCGCCCTGGCTTCTGAGTCGGCCCTGTACTGCTCCAAGGGCCCTGGGGTCTACTTGTAAACCCTAAACGCTAAACCC